CCTTGGAAGTGCCCAGGGAGGTTTGCAGTGCCCATCCCTGGAGGTGTCCCAGGAATTGCTGGAGGTGGCACTCGGAGCTCTGGGCTGGGGACAGGGTGGGGATTGCGCACATTCAGCTCGATGATTCTGGAGCGATTTTCCAATCTGAGTGATTCCGTGAGGTTTAAATTGGATATTTGGGAAAATTCCTTCCCCTAAAAGGGGTGTCCAGGCCTGGCACAGGTACAAGGTGGAGTCCCCATCCCTGGAGGGATTCCAAATCCATGTGGATGTGGCACCTGGGGACACGGGGCAGTGGTGGCCTTGGCAGTGCCATGTTGGACCTCATGATCTTGGAGGATTTTACCAACCTTCATGAATCCATGAAATTACGAAGGGCAGGAATCTCCTGCGAACCAAACTGGGGTTTTTGAAGCAGGGATTGGCTGGTTTACTTTCATCTTTTTCATTTGTTTGGGGTTTAGAAAATAAATTTATTTTATTTATGACACTTCCCAGCCCCAGATCTTCGTGTCAGCCCCAAAATCGCTCCCCTAACGACAGTGACAGGTAATGGAGTCAAGACTTTTTTATTGCTGAAAGATTAGAGAAGAAACATTTCCTCAGCTGAGCTGTTGTCATCTCTGACAGCGTGTTGGGAATGCTCTATGAAGCTGCTTCCCCCTTTTTCCCAAGGGTTTTCCAGGGGAGTAAAATGAGTGGAGATGGGGAGAAGGAAAAGCAGAAACAACACCCAAAATTGTTGTTTTAAGAGAGGAAAAAAAAGCCTCAATTTGAGCTGCCTGGGTTTCACCACGGCTTTGTCACTTTGAACCACGATTCTGTTCCAAGGAGTGAATTTCAGGTGGGAAAAAAATCCCTGTTTAAGGCATTTTTCCCTCTGTTTAGACTCCAGTGTTTGAATTTAATGACACAAACACATTTTGATGCCTTTTTGCTCTTCAGGGGAAAAAAAATATCTCAGTGGGAACAGGGAGCTGCTGGCTCCTGGTTTCCCAGTCCCGTTCGGGATGGCAGGGAGCAGCTCCAAAGATCTCCATCCTCCAACCTCCATCCCATTCCCAAAGTGGGTGAAGGCATCACCTCTGGGTTGGGGTAAACTGGGATCTCAGAGGTTGCCCAGGGAGGCAAATTCCTGGGAAAACTTGGAATAAGAAATGTGTTTTAGGGAAAACTTGGGATTTGCACCTTTGGACACTGAGGGTGGTGCATTGGTGGCAGTTGGGTGGTGGAAATCCCAAACCTGGGGATGGTTTTCATGGAGCTGATCCTGGTGGTGAGGAGGAGATTTCCCATCCCTGGGTCTGTCCTGAAACTTCCACCATTTCCCAAAAAGTCCTTTGGAAGTGCTGATTCCGATTTAATGGAGCCTCCTGGGTGGAAGATGTTTTGGATGAACATTTGGGGCTGAGCAAACGGGAAGTGATTCCTGATCCATTTTGTCACTTCCTTAACTTTGCCTTTTATGTTGGGAGTTGATCCACGGTCGATTTCTGCTCCCTCCCGGGTGTTTTAAAGCTGTTGATGGTTATTCCCTGTTTTTTCCTTGGATATTCTGCCATTGCTGAGCTTATCCCTTGCTTTCCTGAGGAAATTTTTGTTATGTTAATGAGCTCTTTGGTTTTTCTCCAGACCATTCCAAATCTTCCTGAGGTTACACCCCTCAGAGAGGGGCCCTTTCCTTGGAATTTAATCCAAGGGAATTGTAGAATTTTCAATGGAAATTGAAATTTCAATGAAATTTCATGGAATTTCCATGAAGGGAATGGGAATTTCCTGCCTGGATTATTTTCTGGTTTATGGAACAAAAATGAATTTTTTCATTCACTGGGAACTCAGAGCAGTGGTGGGACTGGCACGGAGCACTGGGGAGCACTGGGGATCACCTCCCCGTTCCCAGTGCTTTCCATGGAATCCTGGAATGGCTTGGAAGGGATGTTAAAAACCATCCCAATCCCACCCCTGCCCTGGCAGGGACAGCTCCCACTGCCCCAGGCTGCTCCAGCCCCAATGTCCAGCCTGGCCTTGGGCACTGCCAGGGATCCAGGGGCAGCCACAGCTGCTCTGGCAATTCCAGCCCAGCCAGCAATTCCCAATTCCCAATCTCCCATCCATCCCTGCCCTCTGGCACTGGGAGCCATTCCCTGTGTCCTGTCCCTCCATCCCTTGTCCCCAGTCCCTCTCCAGCTCTCCTGGAGCCCCTTCAGGCCCTGAACCCTTCCCTTCTCCAGCTGAACATTCCCAATTATCCTGTTTCCATAGGAGAGGTGGAATTTTGAGAAATTTTGGCTCCTAGGAGGTAACTCCTGCACAGAATTCCTGGAATTACCTCATCCTTGGATCCAATTCCCTTCTTTCCAGCTCTCCCAGTGCCCATCCTTCCTGGTTTTCAGCTCTTCCATGTGGAACAGCTCCTAAATCTTGTGGGTTTAATTGAACCCCAGCCGGTTTTTCCCCCAAAAATGTGAGGATTTGCTCAATTCCTGAACCTGGATAGCAACAGCAGCGACTTCTTCTGTGTCTGGGAAAAAAATAAAAATAAAAAAAATAGGATTTAGACTGGTCCACAAGGGAAATAAGAGTCTGGATTACGATTTTATGGAGTTCTCATCCCCAGGCTTGATTTTTGCCAGTTTAGAACCTCAAAATGACAAATTTTGCTGCATTTATTTGCCTTTAAAGAATTCCAGGGAATGAATTCCCAGGCATTGAAGTTATGAGGATGTGTTTGTGATTCCAGGGGTTTGACATGGAATTCCAGCATTGGAAAGCCTCCATAAAAAGGAATAATTAAGAATTCTGATGGAGCTTTTTCTGCTTCTTTCTGCCCTTAAATTAGGGCTTTATTATGAAGGTGAATTTTAAAGCTTAATTAAGGTTGCTGAATAAAATAAATGCAGGGAGAATGAAAAAAAAAAAAAAATCCCAAATTTGGAGCTGTTTGGATAATTTCCTCAAATTCCCTGGATAATTTAGCTGGGGGCCAGTCCAGAATTTCCCACCAGGAATGTTCAAATAATCCTGGAAAAAACTCAGTGAAGTTCCTGACCTCAGCTCCCGGTTAATGCTGGAAAAGGCATTTTCCAGCCGTGCAGGACGGAAAATCCATCGTTCTTCAGTGGGATATTGGTTGGAAAAATGCTTATGGATTATTCAGGATTAAAGTGTTAAGTTTCTGGGAGGAGGGAAACATCTGAAAGTCCTAAGGAACAACATTGGGATCAAAGTAATCCAAATTAATCGAAGATTGATTGTTGCAATCAGTCATTGGCCAGGTTATTCTGAGGTTTTTTGGGAAAGAATTTGAGGGTGTTTCCCTAAATCCTGCTTTTCCATAAAAAAAAAAAAAAAAGAAAAAAGGAAAAAAAAGACTGATCCAGCTGAGTGGAATAGAGGAATCTTATCAATTTTTTATTTTTAACCAAAGTTTTACCTATTTACCTAAGATTGAAATATTTTTTCCCTCAGGATCCACTCATTAAAACCCTTTTAAATTATTCAGCATTTCCTTAAAATCTCTTTATCTTTTCCAGTAATATTTAGACTTCCAGTCTTGAAGTGTTAGGAAAGTTTTGTCTGCAGTTCCCAAGCCAAATCCTGAGTTTTTGGGATTCAGACTTCTTGGATGTCTCCCTGATTTTCTGATTTTCCAGAGTTTGGATGCCAATGTGTAAAATCTGAGTTCAGAGGTGAAGGAATGGATTTTCCAACTGATTTTATTTTATTTATTTTATTTATTTCCATTTTTGGGAGCATCCCCAGGTTCCAATTTCAGGATTACTCTGGAATCTTTGGGAATAAAGTGAAAAAAACACCAAAATCATTCCATAGGAATTGTAGGTTTGCTGCTGATTTTTTCCATGGTTTTCCAGAGTTTTCCTCTGCTGGAAAACAAAAGGAAATCTCTTTTTCCCAATGTGTTGCAACAACCAAGCTGGAAAAGGGCAATTCTCTTGGGATTCCTGGCATGGAATCTGGATGCTCATGTCTTGCCTGTTCACAACTCCTGTCGCTGCCGACTTTTCCTTGGATCGGGAAAAGATTGCGCTTTCCCTGGCAGCCTGTGGAAGTGTCGGGATCTGCAAGGACACGAGTTGGCTGTAAAGGCAATTTATCCTCTGGAAGTAGGAGGCCATTCCCTGTGCTCAGGGAATCACAGAATCCTGGAATGGTTTGGGTGGGAAGAGACCTTAAATCCCATCCCATTGCAGATCCTATCCCATTCCACCTCCCGCTGTCCCAGGCTGCTCCAGCCCCAATGTCCAGCCTGGCCTTGGGCACTGCCAGGGATCCAGGGGCAGCCACAGCTGCTCTGGGAATTCCAGCCCAGCCAGCAATTCCCAATTCCTGATATCCCACACAAATCTCCCCTTTTCCTGTGTCCTGTCCCTCCATCCCCAGTTTCTAGTCCCTCTCCAGCTCTCCTGGAGAACTGGGGCTTGGATCACCCTGGCACAGTGGAATGTGTCCCCGGCTTGGAATGGGATGGGATTGGAAGTCCCTTCCCACCCAAACCATTCCATGATTCTGTGATTATCAAAATAATAAAACCATCAGATAAAGAAAATAAAAAATGGAAATATGCACTCATTTCTCTTCCCAGATCCATCACAGGCAGCCTCAAATTCCACAGGTCAGAAATCCCCGGGAATGTTCAAGGCTTGGAAAAACCTGGGATAGTGGGAGGTGTTCCTGCCCATGGCAGGGGCTGGAATGGGATCTTTAAACTCTTCCCAACCCAAACCATTCCATGATTCCATGAGGGAACTCCTCAGGGACTCCAGGATGAAATGTTTATTCCCATGAGCTGTTGAGTTTCTTGGGAATTTCCCTGAATCATCCAAGGTGAAATCCCAGTGCCTCCCGCTCAAATCCCGTGGTTTGGTGCCGAGCCTGTGCCCATTTTCCAGACCTAAAGTAATCCTGGTTTTTGGTGCCGAGTTTTAGACTCTGCCCCTTTTCCAGACCTAAAGTAATCCTGGTTTTTGGTGCTTGCTCAGATCAGGTGGACCAAAACAGCAGGAAGTGCCTCTGACAGATTCCAAGATTCCAGTGTCTTCAACGAAACCCTGAGGATTTCCAACATCCAGAGACACCAGGGAGGCCGCTACTACTGCAAGGCCGAGAACGGCCTGGGCTCCCCGGCCATCAAATCCATCCGAGTGGACGTGTACTGTGAGTAAATCCTTGGAATTCTGCCTTTGGTCCTTTAGGAATGCCTTAAAATATCTGTTGTTCCTGAGGAACCTTCGGCTCCTTGTGAATCCCGATTTTAATGGCGGGTGCTGTGGGTTTGTGGAGTTTTTATGGTTGGGAGAATGGGAAGGGTTGGGATTGCAGGGGAAAATGTGGAGGATTGGGATTGGAGTGAAAAATGTGGAGGATTGGGATTGTGGTGATGAATCTGATGGATTGGGATTGCAAGGAAGATGTGAAGGTTTGGGATTGGAGTGAAAAATATGGATTGGGATTACAATGAAAAATATGGGGGATTGGGATTTCAGGGAAGATGTGAAGGATTGGGATTGCAGTGGAAAAATGGGGAGGATTTGGATTTCAGTGAAAAATGGGAAAGGTTGGGATTGTGGCAAAGATACGAAGGATTTGGATTGTGATGCAAAATGTGAAGGATTGCAGTGGAAAATCTGAAGGATGTGGATTGCAAGGAAAAATGTGAAGCATTGGGTATGCAGAGAAAAATGTGAAGGATTTGGATTGTGGTGAAAAATACAAAGGATTTGGATTGCAGGGAAAATGTGAAAGGTTGGGATTGTGGTGAAAAATAAGAAATATTTGGATTTCATTGAAAAAAGTGAAAGACTGTGTTTGCAAGGAAAAGTAGGAAAGATTGGGATTGCAGCAAGAAATATGAAGGATTGGGATTGTTTCAGGCCCTGGAGGGGGCTCTGAGCTCTTCCTGGATCCTTCTCTTCTCCAGGGGAACATTCCCAGCTCTCCCGGCTCCAGAGCAGAGCTGCTGCCTCCTTTGGATCATCCTCCTCTAAACTCCAGAGTGCAAAATTTGCTTTGATTGCACTCCCAGAATCATGGAATGGTTTGGGATGGAGTGGGATCTTAAATCCCATCCCATTCCATGGGCAGGGACACCTCCCCCTGTCCCAGGTGTTCCAGCCCCAATGTCCAGCCTGGCCTTGGGCACTGCCAGGGATCCAGGGGCAGCCACAGCTGCTCTGGCAATTCCAGCCCAGCCAGCAATTCCCAATTCCCAATCTCCCATCTGAATCTCCCTTAAATCCATTGCCCTGCATCCTGTCTCTCCCTGCCCTCATAAGTTTCCCCCTCATCTCCTTGATTTCCTTGGATAATTCCTTTTGGAAAGCCCTTTTTTCCTTCCGTGGAGAAGGAATGAACTGTTCCAAATCCACCAGGGATGATTCCTTTAGGAGACAAATTTCTGTCCTTTTTTCCTGTTGAAGCGAGCAGGTGTTGTCTCTCCCAGCTCTGGCTGAAAATTCCCGTTTCTCACCTCAAGTTCCTCCGATTTCGTGAATCGGGATTCACAAAAGCCCTCAGTTCCCTTGGAAATGAATTCCCAGGAGGGAGAGCTCCATTCTTCTGGAGCCACCAGGAGAAGAAACTGCCTCAGAAATCCGAGCTCAGTTCATGCCAGGCATGAACTCCGCTTCTTTTTCCTCGGGAAGTCGCTCTTCAAAGTTCATCTCATCTTTGGCTTTGAAGGAAAAGCTTTTATACTTCAACTCCCAGAAAAATTTTTTACTTGGAGGACACTTCCTCCTTTTTTAGGGAAGGGAAAGATGGAATAAATGGAGTATTTTCATTTTAAGAAGCAGACTTCTGACAAGAAAGCTTCACTGCACGTTCCCAAAGGACAAATTTTCCAAATTTCCCAGTTTTTAGCGCAGAAAAAGTCCTGATGCCTTCATGGAAAATGTGGTTTTGTGTTTCTCTTGGTTCACAGATTTCTGTGGATACAAGCCTGGAAAAATGTGTAGCAAAAGGTCAGGTGAATGTTTAAAGATTCCTGAGAATAATGTGGAAGGAAAAGGTGGAAAAAAGTTTTATCATTATTTATTTAAGGGTGGAAAAAAGGTTTTTTCCAAGAAATGTAGTGCAGGGAAAGATTTAGGAATTAACTCGTGGTGGAAAGGACACATCCACCATGAGGGATGGGAATATCTGGAATTGCAGGATGGAGAGGTTGAGCTGGGGTCCAGGGAGAACAATTCCTTGTGCTCGTGGATCCACTGAAATCCTTGCTGGCAGCTCTAATTCCAGTTCTTGGCTGGGAGGGAGGTGAGGAGTTGGGATGGAAGCACGGGAATGGTGCCGGTCAGCAGGATTGAGAGTGGTGGAAGCAGACAGAAAACTGGGAATAATGGGAATGGCGAAGGGTAGCAGGAATGGGAGTGACCTCTTACCCCCACCTTGCTGGTTCTGGGTGTCCAAACCCAAAACCCTTTGAGTCACCCACTAAAATTAATGATTAACCCATCCTGATTATCCCATCTCGATTAATCCCAATCCTGCTGGGGAAAATTCCAAATGAAAATTAACCACGCCCGGCAGAATGGAAATGCTGAATTCCCATTAGGAATTGTTCCTGTTTCCATGTTGAGCTGATGTTGGCAATGTTTAATTCACCCTGAGGAGCTGCTGAGGAAATTCCTTGCAGAATTTTCTCCTCAGGATTCTCCTGATCTTGGGAATTTTTAACTCTGGAATAACGCTCGCACTTAATTACAGAGCTTTAATTCCATAGCATTACCTGTCTGTGGGTGCAGATTTCCTTTTCCTCCTGGAACAAACTCCAGGAAAAGTTCCATGAGGTTATTTGAATGCTTTTTATGCTGTTCCTTTCCTAAATTAAAGCTGCGGTTAGATCAGCCTGAGACGAGCTGGTGTCAGATGAAATTCAGGATAATTGATGCCGTAAATATCCCTGGAGTTCAAAGACAGCTCCTTTCCATGGCTCCAAAATTCCCTCTGTTTACAGGAATCCATAAACAGGCCCAGGAAACAGCTTGGGTTATAGAAAGAGCTGAGTTTAGGGCTTAAATTCGCTGTTCCTGACTGGAATACTCTGCTCCTGCCGATCCATGGAACATTCCCTGTGCGGGGTTTTTTTTTGGAGGAGCTTCCTGTGGAGGTGAGGAGGGTTTGGTGTGGGTGGGCTCACCGGAAATGTGGAATTACTGGAAAATAAAGGTTGGAAAAACCCCCAAGACCATCAACCCTTGGATCCCCCCACAAGTGTTAAATCATGTTTTGAGGTGTCCCTTTGTGAATGTTCCCAGGGATGGGGATTCCACCATTCTGTAGGGAGTCTTTTCCAATGCCTGGCCATTCCTTCAGGGAAGAGATTTTGCTCTTTGGCTGTTCTGCATTTGATAAAACCACGGAATGTTTTAGGCTGGATTTTAAATCCCGTCCAGTGCCGTGGGCAGGGACTCCTTCCACTATCCCAGGCTGCTCCAACCTGGCCTTGGACACTTCCATGGATTCATGGGCAGCCACAGCTTCTCTGGGAATTCCATTCCAATCCCTCCCCGCTCTCACAGTGAAGAATTTCAAGGTCCTCCACGTGCATGGCTGTACATTGTTCTGGACAATTAGAGTAGCAGAATTAACAAAATGCAGATTTTGATGGATTTTTCCTCATCCTCCATCTCCATCCCCATCCTTCTCCGTAGGGCTCTGTAATTCCAGGCTCAGGAGAGCATCCATGGATATCCAGGTGTAGCCAACCTGAGCCTTGCTCCGGTGCCCACGTTTTCCCCACACCAGTTTTAACGAAGCGCTGGGGGTTAATTATCTTTGGGATCTTGATCCCAGTTTGAAATCCAGCTGAAACGACCTCAAAAACCTGGTAGAGCTTGGGAAAGGAATTTTTGACAGATGAGCAGGCAAATGCAATTATCCAAGGAGGAAAACCTTGGCTGCTCCTTGGAACTCAGCTCCTTTTCCATCCCCTACCAACATTTTGGATTTGTGCTGCTGGAGCAGGATTGAGGAGCAGCATCCCCATGGATGGGGTTTAAGTGGACTCCTGAGGGTCTTTTCCAAGCTGGATGGGATTTTAGCTCCGGGAATGGGCTGGGAATTCCATCCAGTCAGCAGAAGGACTTTGCTTATCTGGAAGTCCTTTTAGGCTTGGCTCTAAATGTTCCAGGCAGGTCGATTTTCCTCTTTGATTTATCATCTTCATTTCCCCCCCAGGAGTTCCTTCCTTCCACAGCCGCCCTTTCTCCTCACTCTTATTTATGGCCTCTAGTCCTGGTTTTCCTCTGGTTTCCCTCCCATAAAATATCTTTTAGGGGGAAAAAAGTTCTGTATTTTATATTCTGCTGGAGTCGGACTGGGGGGAAAAGGGGTTTTTTAGAGCAGGGATTGCAGGGCAGCACTGAAGAGGTTCCTGCTCGGACGTTTTTAATGGGAAAGAGTTTAAGGCTGGAAAATAAATGGGAGCCTTGGAAGAGAAACAGGATAGGAGGGAGGAAACGTGGCACTTGTTGTTATTGTGGAATCAAGGAATGCTTTGGGTAGAAGTGACCTTAAATCCCATCCAGCCCCTGCAGGGACACCTCCCACTATCCCAGGCTGATCCAACCTGGCCTTGGGCACTGCCAGGGATCCAGGGGCAGCCACAGCAAATCTGGGAATTCCAGCCCAGCCAGCAATTCCCAATTCCCAATCTCCCATCCATCCCTGCCCTCTGGCACTGGGAGCCATTCCCTGTGTCCTGTCCCTCCATCCCTTGTCCCCAGTCCCTCTCCAGCTCTCCTGGAGCCTCTTCAGGCCCTGTCAGGGGCTCTGAGCTCTCCATGGATCCTTTTCCATGTAAACATTCCCAGTTTTCCCAAGCTTTCCTCACAGGAGAAATACTCCAACCCTCGGATCACCTCCACCACCCGCTCCGCACTCCCTTGTTTATTACAAATGAAGAAATAATCAGCTATTTCCTTTTTTTTCTCCATTCAAATATTTTTTATTTTCCTTTTAGGCCATTTAAAATCCAAACTAAGGCAGTGAGAGAGCAGTGGGGTCTTGCCAGGAGCCCCCTCCTCATTATTTACACTCAATTAATTCAGAATTTCAATTTTAACAGGGATTTAAACCTTTTAAGGAGCCTGTGGAAAAATTTCACTGAGTGGAGATGGATGTGCTATAAAACCAGACTTTCCTAACCCAGTTTG